CGCCCGAGTACCCCGGGTGTGTCCCCCCCCCACGTGCAGGTTTGCCTGGGTCGTCCGGCCAGACGGCCCGGGCTGGGCAACCCTGGTAACACAGGTGTCAACGACTCAACGTTAATGTGCACGTGCGTGTGTTTGTGTGTGCGTGTGTGTGTGCCTGTGTGTGTTTGTTGTACCATTGTGCTGATTTCCGAAGTGGATGTGTGTGTGCCTGTGTGTGTTTGTTGTACCATTGTCCTGATTTCCAAAGTGTTATGGAGTTCTCTCTATGTGTGTTCTGCACTCTCTCTACCTTCTAAGTTCTAACAGACAGGTTTTGAACTTTGGACTTGTCGGTCAAGTTATTGAGATCAAGATCGACATTTATTCGTTTGTGTGTGTGCCATTGTGCTAACAGCTGGCTGCACATGGCTTTGCAGATTGATGCTGCTGCAAATGCGGATGCGCTGCGTGTAGAAGCAGCGAAGAGTGTGGACTTAGTCTGTTTGTCTGCACTGACAGGCGAGGGCATGGAAGAGATGCTGGCAGCTGTGGAGGCAATTCTCCGGGTAATTGCGTTCTCTAATTTCTCCTACATGCTTCTCCTTGGTTGTTTCCTTCCTCCTTCACGCTGCCATACACTTTCCTTGTGTTTTGATCAAATGAGTTGGTATCCATTTTAACTCCGGGCATGCACTCTTGCGGACCCAAGGGCCATTTTAATTTGTATTCATTCATGTGTAATAACCCATGCCATATGTCTCGTGGAAAGACTGAGGGCCAACTCGGCCGCCCTCAGCCCAGGGCCGAAACAAGGGAAAAAGGACCCCACATGAGGACTCAGGGCCTGGACGTGTGGCAGTTGACTTTGGTCAACTGTCAAGATCCCAACAGTCAAAGTCCAAAGGTACCTAGCCCAGGCCGCTGGTCAAGCACACACACTTGTTTGTATGCAGGTACCCAGACAGCATCAGGTCCAAGGAAGAAGTCTGCAACTCCACAATCCAGGCCCTCAGCTGCGAGTCAATCTGGACGACTGTGGGGAAAGCACCCGAGGACAGACAGCCTCGACAATTGCTACTTAAGGCCGGCCTGGCTGGGCACTAGCGTTGTGGATGACGGCACGAGGTGGAGACAGCATACTGCCGCTTGCTGCATTGTGCGCCAGGCTTGCTGGGATTGCATGCTGATGTGGCGCTACCCCTGGTCTACATTGCATGCTGATGTGGCGCTACCTCTGGTCTACATTGCATTCTGATGTGACGGTACCTCTGGTCTACATTGTATGCTGATGTGCGCTACCTCTGGTCTACATTGCATGCTGACGTGGCGCTGCCTCTGGTCTGCATGGCATGCTGACGTGGTGCTACCTTTGGTCTACATTGCTGATGTGGCGGTGCCACTGGTCTCCATTGATGATGTGGCATATGCCACTAGTCTGCATTGATGATGTGGCATAGGCCACCTGTTCTGACTATTGACGTGGCATTGTCCACGCTGTCTACATGACGTGACTGGTTGCGAGGAGGAAGATCGGGATCTGTGGATGAAGGAGGTCGGGTACTCACATAAGGTTGACGTCGTCACTGGAATCTGTTATGACTTCATGGTCTTCACGAGATTAAGTGCCACGTGGCACTATTGTGTGTGATCAGGAATAAACTGATCATTGTTGACGTGGAGAGGGAAGAAGCCCGGAGAAGGAGAGGGGTCTGAAGGGATTATTACTGTGTGATCTTTCATCTTCTCCTTTGTCTATTCCCCCTCCACTCTCTTCTTTGATGGTAATGAGATACTATTTGAGATATCACTTTTTTCACGATTTGGAGACTTTGATGCAGATAATGAGACTACTGATGTTTGACGACTTCTGAGTATCTACCAGACTGGGTTCATTACAATTTGGCATCAGAGCTACTCTTTCATCGCAATCTGCTGTCTGTTGTCAGGTGCTGACGTGGCACCCAGGTAAGTGGGAGGTGCCGCATGTGCAAAACGAAACGCGTTTATTAACGCGTGGGATATAAACCGCAAGGCTAGACACTGTAGTATTGCACACGCGAGCAGCTGTCCCTTGAAGATTATGATGTGGCTTCATTGAAGATTTCAAGATGCCGGCAAGAGCTTCGTTGGCAATGTGCTAACGTGGCGCTGGTGTAGAGAGAGATTGGTACCGCTGATGTGCCACATTGTTTATGTGGCATGCAGGGCATGGTCTGATGTGGCACGTACCTGTGTCACTATTGCTTGTTGTTGATGTGTTGACGTGGTATGCTGGTGTTGAGTGTATGGTAGACCTGCATTGCTGACGTGGCATCCCTCCTAGTAGATCTTTCAGGTCCTTGTTGCTGACGTGGCATCCCTCCTAGTAGATCTTTCAGGTCCTTGTTGCTGACGTGGCAGAAGTGATGCGTTGGCATGCCAGGGGTGACACGTGGCATGCAAAGACTGTGCACTTGTTGTTGAGGGTCACATTGTTTTTGCAGATGATAAAGTAGAAGCTAATCATTGATTGCATTGCTGTGCTGGCTTTTCTACTAACCTGTTATCTGTTTTGTGGATGCTGTGTGTACTCACAAGTGTGTTGTTGTCTTGATCACACTCGCCGTGGCTGCAGTACCTGTAGTTGTAGGACATCATCACATAGGAAACAGTCAGCAAAGTTAGACTTAGAAATTGATTGAGAACCTGCTTCTTTGTATTTGCCTTGTTTGTTTCTTGCTGTAAGAGTTGCATGTGTCGCGGAATTTATTATTGTCTTTGATTTTATTCATTGTGCGGCATCTACACGTGTCTAAAAATGAACTCCCTCTGGAAATGTTTGTGTGCCTCTACCTTGATGCGGTTTATTGCTCTTCTCTTCTTCCCTATCCCTCTCATAGTCTATGCCGACGAAGAAGGGGGGGAATTAAAGACCCGTGGGCAAATAGATGCGAGAAAGAAGACTTTGATTGGCCTTCTCCATCAGTTTCTCGGTGAGGTACACGGTGCTGGTTTAGAGATTGAACAGCGGATCCATGGTCAGCTCAATCTGCAAGCTGCAGAAAGTGATCTGCAAGCCGCGGATACTGCCGTTCAACTGATAGAGACCGGTAAGAAGGTCGAGGACCTCATAAAGCAAGGACGAATTGTCCTTGACCGGTATGTCGCCGAGGGATTTGCCAAGATAGAACAGGAAAGAAAGAAGAGAAGAGAAGAAGAAAAAAGAAAGGTAGAATCACAACTGTCTGTTGAGGTGATGGAGGAAAATGTTAGGCAACACTCTGAGGGAAGAAAGGAGGAAAATCGAGGAGTTCCGAAGAATACAAGAAGCACAGGAAGAAGAAGAACGAATAATGAATGAATTAAGACAAAGATTTCATTATGAGGTTTTCCCTTGAAAAGAAGATTGACAGTAACACTACCTCGTTAGAGACTGTGACCAGAATCTTGAAAGGAAGGTAGGATTTGAGGAGGCGAGCAGGGGGGAGTTAGTCAAAAAGGAACCCCAAGAGAGATTAATGAAGGATGCCATAAAGCGAGCTACGCCAGACAAAGCAGAAGGTTCTAAAAAAGAACCTGAGAGACCGGCCGAGAAGAAAGAAGAACCCACCAAGAAAAAGGAACCAGTCAAAGAAGCGGAGAAGCCGAAAAAGAAAAAAAAAATCAAAATGAAATTGTCGTTTACATATAACAACAAGAAGGAAGAAAACTTGTTGTTATGGATTGCTGAAATCCAGACTTATTGTAGCACCGCACCCGTTGAGCCTAAAAGTCAGGTTGCTTTCTCTACGTCTTGTGCCGGAGGAGTAGCCAAGGAATGGGTGTTGGCAGAAGCCAGTGCTGCTGGTTTTGAGGATATCGGTGATTGGGCTAAGACCCTTGACCTCAAGTAGTTTCTCCAAAAGATCAAGGAGAGATTTTTTGACAAGACGACGACCGATAAGGNGATTTTTTGACAAGACGACGACCGATAAGGCCTTCGACGAACTCGCCACTATTAGCCAGAAACGTTGGACTTCGGTTGATGCTTTGTCGCATGAATCGGCAATTTCGTTCGCTCTTCCGAGAGAGCAAATGACCACTCAGGTGAAAGGGTCTTATGCTTCGGTGGCAAAGTCAGGACCGGTTGGCGGGTATGGGAAGCGGGTTCTGTAGCCGCAAAAAGGCCAGGTGTAACGATCCTGGTCATAGCCAAAGTGCAAATTCACAATGAAAGACAATGCCACCCAATTGCGAAAGAAATGAAAGCACTTTCAAAGAGATAGAGACCAGAGAAGAGAGAAAGAAGAAGAAGAAGAAGATGAACACCAGCAAGACCAATGACAATTCCCCCTTCTCTCTCCACCTTCCTCCTCCTCCTTCACTTCGCCAATCTTATTCTTCTCCCAATAATAATAATAACAATGAGTGGATGAACCAGAATCAATATCCGAAGTTCCCTCTTACTGCTGACTCAACAACAA